CTGAACCATTAGAAAAAGAGAAAGGCGTTATCTGTGAAAGGAGGGAAGAGTTTGAACAAAAAGAGGAAGAGAAAGAAGACATGCTGGAATGGGCCAAAAAAACGAGAGGAAAAATCGAGGAAATCACAAAGTATCCAGAGATCTCTGAGCCTGAGGCAGTTCCTTCCCCTGGTCTGATTAGCCCAACTGAGCCAGGAGTCCTTCGAGAGACAGAATATGAACGAGAAGATAAGCAGGGCATTTTGTTCAGGGAAGCAGGCTTGCCTGGCTCCATGAGCTATGAGAAGGTGGAAGTAGTGGAATCCATTGAGAAGTTTTCAGACAACAGAATTCAGACGTATGAAGAGACAGCAATGATTGTGGAGACAATGATAGAGAAGACAAGCAAGAAGAAACCAGGTGACAAAGGCTCTTAAGTGATACACACACACCCCCCCTTGATAGTAAACTTGTCTGGCATAGTTATTAAATGACTGTTTTTTTTCCTGACCGAATGATACAGTAGTGAGATTTTTGCTGTTTGGTATGGAACAGATTGATACCTTGATGGCAGTTCTGTCTGACGTAGGCTTGCCTTTGGTGCCACGCCCATTAAAGCACTCCAGGGCAACAAGTAATAGGCACATCTGCGCACCTGATTTTCATGATTAGGACAAGTTGAAAGTAATTATTATTACAGAGCTGCCTGGCTTTTCACAGTATCCCGGACAAATTTGTGTATTCTTCTACTGCTGCCGTATGATTCCCCATCTCTCAGACAGCTGCAAATGTTAACTTGTGACATCATCTGGTTCATTTAATAAAAGTTTTGCCTTCTACCGAAGATACCCACTGTGGGTTTGTGTTGCCTGTACCGGTGACTAATCGTCCCTCCTAGTAACTGTCAGCTGAGTGGGTGTGCAGGAGCTTTTCCAGGGGAAGGGCTGGATACCTGTTAAATAACGTATTTCAAGTCTCTCTCATTTACAGTCATTAAATAGCAACGAGCTTGGCAGACCTTTCTTTTTGGATCTAAAGACAAACTCCATTTCGAATAAGCTCTCACTGCCTATCTTCTCAGAATAAAACTTGAAATTCCACTAAAGTGGGGGATAACCCTTATAGAAGGTATTAAAGGCATTATTTGTCCCTCACCAACACAACTGAGGTATTACTAATGCCAGCAAGCTTTTGAGCAGACTGCAGCCAACTCAAATGACTGTGTTTTGATACTTTCTTGTTAAGTATTTCCTTGGACTGTAGCGTTTTTACAGAGTTTAACATTTGCCACATGATCTTACCACAGCCCAGTCACCTGCAGTCCACGGAGCTCCACGGGGTTGCTGGAACAGGCCGTGCCTTCCCACGTCCCCATGCCTAGGGGCGCAAAAAGCAATACTTTGGCAGCAGCTTCTTGCAGCTTCCAGAAACCAGCTCAGGGAAAAAAACCAAACAAACATACCCCCCATAGGAAAGGAAACCCTTCACTTGTCTATGTGCAAATCCTGAGCACTACTGCAAGTGCTGGTGCATCATTTAGGCCTCAGCTTGACTTAAGGCTTACAACTAATCCCACTAACGCAAGGTACATACCGAAGTGCTTTACTAGGTTGGGTTCTACATGTTGCTTCTCCTACCCCAGTTCTCAAAATTTTTGTTTCAGCTTTCGGCATTGTTATGCCTCTTCCTTCTGGTTGATTACTCCCATTGTGGGGCAGAGGCTAAACACCATTGGAGCTGATGAGCCTGAGCTGCAGGAGTACCTTCTCGCATCACCCAAGCCTTCCCTTTGTTATTGCATTTGTGCTTGTTTTTTTTTTTTCTCATAAGTGAGTTCCAATGCAGGCGTGGCATCTAATCTACTGTGACTGTTGTCTGGCAAAGTGGCCCCTTCTTCTTTGAAACAGGGACAGGTTACAAATAGTCACATTTTTAGTCAGGACTTATTTTTTTTTTTGGGGGGGGGGGTGTTTTGTTGTTGTTGATGCTGTTTTATTGAAATTCTGTGGGTGTTCACGCCAGACATGGCTTACTAGGGTGTGTGCTGCTTTTCAGTTTAATTTATTAACAGTGTAAATAACTGCAGAGAAGGAATTTACCAATGCATACGCAGGCTCCACACTAGTGACCTGGAAGCAACTGCTCAGAACTGTCAGTGTAAGCAGGCTTTGGCTACTGCAAGTGGAGGAAAAAAAAAAAAAGGGGGGGGGGAAAAAAGGGGGGGGGAAAAAAAAACCCACACACACCCCCATACCATCAAAACAACAGAACACCAGGAACAACCAAAAAAATTAAAAAAAAAAAAATCAATCAATGAAACAAACCCCTCCACCAACCTGCAGCAATAGAAAATCTGTTTAATAATTCTGTTACTAAACAGGTGTGAACAGATTCACACCCAGCCATCTGGTTTCACTGCAACATGGAGAACTTCTTAACATTCAGAATACAAAAATCCTTAGTCAATGGTAAGGAGGCAACATTTCAAGAAAGCCTGGATTAGGTGTCTAAAGTGTGAATATTCCCACCACTGTCATCTTTGTGCTGAGGTGTCCCCACTCTCACTGCTGACATAGAAATGGTTTGCTGATGCTCGCAAACCTTGTTCAGCAGTTGTGCAGTATTAAAAAAAAAAAAACAAACCCACACACCCACAAAAAAAAAAATAAACCCTCCACAAAAAAACAAAAAACACACACCACCATAACACACACCCCCCAAAAAAAACCCAACCCAAAACACCCAAACACAAACCACACCACACACCACTCCTAAAGCAGGTCTGGGGCCATGCATTACTGAGGAAGTCAGGCACTGCATTGCACAGGCAGCCCCCAGAGGTGCAAGACTTGAGCCAAGCTGGTGCTGAGCTGCACCACAGATGCTGACATCAGCAGAGGTCAAGGACCATGATGAACTGCGGCCTAAATTCTGCTACAATCATCTGTCTCCTGCCTTCCACAAACATGGCAGTTGTGCACTAAGGCTGCAGATGACAGGCATCCTTCTGTAACTCTGTATGAAAATTACACAGAAAAAACCACTAGTATTCTATTGTTCATAGTAGCAATGCTGAAAGGTACAGTAAATCTCATAATTTGTGGGCTGACCTCTGCCTTAAATGCATATTCTCAAACACAGGTTCTCAATGAAGTGTTTAATGCAAAAGTGTGACAGTGAAAGACTTGCAAGCATCTATTCAGCAGAGCCTGGTAGGAGACCTCGGTTACTACAGGCAGATTCTCACCTCTATGGCAGTCAACTAGATCAGGAGGTTCCCTGCCACCTTTTACTGCTGCAGACATGGTAAGAAATTACAAAATGAAATGTACCCTGCCCATGGGAACATGTGAGCTAAAAAGCACCTAAAAAATGTGGGTGAGAAGTAGGGAGGAAGAGGGAAATGGGTTTTTTTTGTGGCTCACAGTGCTCCAAACAGCAGAGAAAAAAAAAAAAAACAACACCACCACAAACAACAAAACAACCTGCTGTGGTATTTCCTTGGGGCCAGAACTGCTTATGAAATGCAGTGCAAAAAAATGTTACTGTTTCACTTCCTGAACATTCCAGTTCCCCCCCAGGGCAGCAGTTCAGCATCCGCATCGCTGCATGCCTTTGCAGAGCTGCCGTTGGAGCAGTGGGTCTAAACCACATAAGTAATGCCCAAGGCTCTTCTGAGCCCGCAGCGTTCATATTCCTGTGTCCCACCGTATCACTAAATTAACATAAAGCCTGTTACTCTCCATTGGTTGCTATCAACTCTTTTGGAGGAGAATGTTTATTTTCTCAGTATCCAGCATACATGGGAAACAGATTTCCTTATTGGTATAAGCAAAGGCATGGGAAGTCACCCCACTTACCTCCCATATAACTTTGGATAGGCAACGATGATAGGACCTGCCAGTTTACAACAGCTCTTTATTTTACTCATATTATAAAACATCATCACAGGGCTTTAGTTAAACAGTGTTCACCTGTTTCAAATCATGAGCTTCAAATGATAATAAGCTTCAAGTAAGACCCTTTTATTATAAATACCAACAAATTATCCTTATTTTCCATCAGCAATACCATAAAAACTTAATCTAACTGGACATACTTTTTCAGCAGTCCCCCGATGCAAAAATCCTGAAGAATTTAATCTGTATATTGTATATACACTTAGTTTTATATATACTTATATCAAAACTCACCATTTCCATATATCACTCATTATCGTGATCTTTCACTTAATAAATTATGTCAGCATTATGAAAATATGAACAACCATTTAGTTATTTTGCTGCTTTAGAGGATATTTAATGATTGAATGGAGAACTGCAAAATTACATTAACGCAATGGAAAGTCATGTACATGTTCATTTAAGATTTCCACATGGACTTTTCTTATTCCAAAACTTTTTCCACATTTTAGAAGTCCTTCCATAGCTTCCAGTTATCTCTTTCTTTGAATGCATAGACACAAAAAATAATGGTGTGTGTATATGTACTATACATTACATACCATATGTAATTCTATATAGATTTATAAGCAAATATATGTAACATATTCTGAATATACATATCGTATGTAATATATATACACAGAGAGAGATACCACCACAGGTGTGTCATATGCATTTAGACATACAGGTGTATGCATAAATAAAATATGGTAAATTCTTCCCTCTAATACGTATACGCTGCTCTTTCTGAGAATTGGGTGCCTTCCATGGAAACCTACTGCCGTCAGCCCCATCCACTCTCTTCCAAAGACAGCAGCAAACCTGTCCCCAACGCATTTAACTTCAGTGAGTTTTGGCTCATGCCTCATGAACTGCAGTTCATGCTTTGCAACAGGCCCTTCTCAGCCTTGGGTTAAGTTTTAAATCACCAAATTAAACACCGTTGACACTATAATGTATTTAAACAAATAACCAAGAGCACTTCCAAAATAAAAACCGCGTGGGGCCTGATTCTTCTGCTGATGCCCATTTTATCCCAGTGTGACTCGATTGTCTGAAGGGACTGCTGCATGCAACAAGGAACCTGTGAGTAGTGCAAGGCTGCTTGTCTTGCCTTTAGAGTGTAATTCACACAGACTGAGTAGGTTGAGCTGTTTATTTTGCATTTGGATTTGTAAAGGAAAGAACAGGGCTCTTATGGAAAGGTAAAAGATGGATATTCACTAGAAATAACAGCATCGATTATACATTCTTAAGTGAAACGTGTGCACCATAACACCTTTGGGTTACGTTTTTAATTTGTTGGATGAATATTTACTTAATGTGTTTGTACTACTATGCACCTTAGTAACGAGGACAGCTCTTATTAAAATGTTTTAGATGAATACTCTGCATATTAAAAATACATAGTAAAATTCTGAAACTAGTCACTGCTAAAAAGTAGATCCTGGATCCTGCAAGTATAATTAGCATTTGAGTAGGTCCACTGATAGCCTTTAAGTGAGTGCCTAAACATGTGCAGAATCAAGACCCTTTATTATTCAAAGGTTAAATTTGGGATCTCACACCTGAGAACATACAGTGGATACTACCATGAGTAATCTCCGCTAAGGAGGATATATGTCTTGTGGCAATAGCCAGAGCAGACTCTGAGGGCAAGAGAGACTTACTACTCATGTTTGAAAAGTGAAGGTGGGACTGGCTCTTTAAACAGCGAAGAGCAATGATTACCAACAAATCTTCCCAAATGCTACATGTTATTTCCCAAGAAGGCCCTACTTTGCATTACACATAAATAACTTAGGCGTATTTTCCTCTTTAAATATATAACATAAAAATAACAAATCTCTTATTTTTAAAAATGAAATTTGAATAAAAAATTGCTTTGAGACTGAAACGGCATACTTCCCGTTTCTCCCACAGCAATTTACCAACAGCCAGGTTGTGAACCCCAGAAAATAGGGGTCTGTGGTTGGAAATGCTGCCACAGCCTCACCTCACGCTGCTGTAGTCCATCATGGCATAGAGACGAGCAGATGCCTTTGCACACAGGTTGCCAGAAATCCTACAGCCTATGTGCTCAGTCTGCTGTAAGATGGTAAACTGATTTAAATTGCCAAATTAAAAAAAAAACAAAAAACAACCCAAAACACAAACCAGAAACTTGTGCTTCTAGAACGCCCTGACCCTGTTTGCAGAGAACTTCCCCTTGTCACCGACTTTGGCATCCCTTTGCCTTCCTTACTGCATGCCTGTTGACTCATTCTGTGGCTGAAGTGTTAGCGTGTATGCTGTGTTAAATGTATATAGTAAAGAAAACTCTCAAAAGAATTGGATTTCTGCAAACTGGATTGGTAGATTTTCTTCATCTGAATTATTTCTTTTTGTAGGGTCTAGTGCTACTTAGGTTGAACCCAATGGGAAAAGTCCCACTGAAGCCAGTAATGTAGAAGTTCAAAGATCGCTCCAGCCAACCTCTTTGTGATTCCCTCTCTCACAAAAATTTTTAAAACGTGCCCATTATCAGCAACTGCCAATGTTAAAATTTACTCTTTTTTTTAAATACAAACAACACTTACCACAAAAATACGAAGGGAAAAGCCATCAACTTGTTTGCAGGTTATTACCTATTTGTATGGCACAAAAGAAAAAATCATTTACAGTTACAAACTGTACATAGTATTCAGTGGGGGACTATATTTGTGGTTTAGAGTAAAAAAAGGATTGCTTCAGTGGTCATTAAAATAATCATTGATGAGATCTAAGACTTTAAAATCAAGAAAGTGTGATAATTTGGCTACAGAGACAATCATTGTAATATGTCTAGCACAGAGGTTTGGATAGTAGAAAGGTGAGTAGAGGGATCTGGGGAAGGAAAGACACCGTCATGCAGAACAGCGCTAGTTCTTGCTCAGTATACTCTTCAGGCTTCTCTCCACTGCTTCATCTAATTCTTCTTCCAGCTCTTCCTTCTTGGACATGGCCAGTTTGGACTGGTAATCTTTTACTATTTGGTCTATATATGGGGCACTCTGAGTCCCGTGCAGCATCAGTGTCCACTCCTTCAGCACACCCCGCTGCGGCAGACTGCCGACAAACCCAATCTCTAGAGCCCAGGTGCCTCGGGGGTCTTCTCCCCAGGTGTGTGTGGTCATGAAAGGCCATTTGTCAAAACCCACCTTGGAGTCGTCATCCCTTGGACGCCGGCTCAGTAAAATGGACTTTGTTCCCATTGGCGAGGTCATGTTGATGTTGAGGTCTCCTCGCCGAGTTGAATTCACAGTTATCACTGCCTGGACATGTTCAAGGTATCGGACAAAGTTTTCCTTCCCCTCACAAGCATCAGTTGTAAGTGTGAGGACTAGCTTGCCACTTGGTGGTATCTTTCTGCAGGTCAAAAGATAATTAAGCAAATTAAAAGTATATACACAGCAGAACGAGGCTCATTCTAAAATTACTGGGTTTTGGTGCCTCACAGAAAAACCTCCACTATTTGCCCTGTTAATACTTGGAAAAGTAAGGAAATCATAGTTGCACACGTAGACAGAAAGAGAACATTATACTTTTAGAACATGATATCAAAACCTTAATTTGAAAATACAATATGAAATGTACACCTGCACAAAGAGAGAAGGAATACAATTAAGTAGTACATACTGCTATTTAAGAAATATTAATATATATTTAATAGCTGCTTTAACTTATAATTCCTATATTGGGTAATTGCATAATAAAGTGTATTCAGTAGAAGAACCGTGAGCAGTCAGTTGTGTCAGACAGTCACCTCAGAAGACTGCAGCAAATGGATGCCTGGAGTCAGACGAGCCAGTTGCACAGAATTTCAGTGCAGTCACATTCAAGCCTACATCCCTTTTCTGATTTGGAAACCAGCACAAACATGGGATCCCAGTTTTAGCTGATTTGAAAAATATTTTTCCATTAAAATTGCTATCCTTGAACTGCTCCGTACAGGAGTGCGCACATGGAGGAAAGAAGTTGCACCTGTTTACTGAGCTGCCAAAGTGCTGCACCTTGAAGTCACAAGTTTCTTGGTGATGGTAACTCTGTCCTTTGAAAGCAAACTCACAGTTAACTGAAGGACATTAGCCCCCAGCATTACCAGGAAGCCAGACCTGCGGATGGAACACAGGCACAGTCCTGTGCAAGGTGCATCCCCGCTCTGGCAGAGGAGGCCAGGAGCCACTGCGCACTGTGCAGTCCCACTCCGGATCCCAGCGCAGGGTCAGGGGCACTGGGGTCTGACCTGGAAGAGTGCCCTGAGGCTGCCGAGCACCTGCTAAACCCCTCGGGTCAGGATGCAAGTGGCAATTAACTAGTTGACTCAGAAACTGGCTGTCAAACTACACTAGAAGTGTAAACAAAAGTCTCTGTGTCTTCACTGTCAGCGAGCTGTAAGCAGTGTGACACTTTCCTCTGTCTAAAATAAATACTTGAAAGAAAAGAACTACAGCAATCATGGAAAGAGCCTGACATGAAAGGAGCAGAAGAGAAGATGGGTTTTCCACACCCTCATAGTGTACTGCTGCCCAATTGATGTGTGTGTGTGTGTATATATATATACACATACATATAAAAAAATATATTCACTTTTGTGTGAAGTGTAGTACCTGGTTAGAGATGAGCAGGGGGAGCTAACTGCTCTCTAGAAGCACAGTTCCTGTTCCTCAGCTGATGGACCATGATGTCCTACATCATTTTTCTCTCTCCCTGGACCAGCTGGATTGAGACTTGTCCATTTTTTTTTCTTTTTGCTGATACAACAATCCCTATTCAGGGAGAGCTCCCATTGCTAAGAAGTGTTTCTACATGCAGCAGAGAAATGCTGCACTTTAAATACTGGTTGCTTTCAGCACACTGTATATTCTAGGCTGTCAATTCTATCCTGGCCTGTTTCTGCTCATTGACAATGCTCCTGTGGTACACACTTCTGTATCAACTACTCACCTACCTGAATATATCTTGAATATGTATTTTATATCTATAAATATCTATATCTATAGAAACATATAGAATATATATACAGAAAATGTTGCTTCAGGAAGGCCAAACTGGAAAAATACAGGGGGACACCCATACAGACTGCACACTGTGCCCCACTGCAGGAGAGCTGGAGACTTGAGGCTGTGACTGACTTGGCTGAAATAACTTGGCTGCTATTGTACGCTTTTAAGATCTCTTCTTTACAAATCTGTGTGCTATAAGCACAAGGCCTGTTCTGGGTGCTGCTCTCAAAAGACACCAACACAAGGCAATGTGTTTCTCAACGCTGCAGCCTGTCAGGCAACGACAGCTATAGGGAAGCTTTACTGCACTGCCAGATCCCTGGGCTGGAGGAAATCCACCATTACCTCTGCTTTTCTATCCATTCACCAGCAGAAAAAGGACAGGGAAGAAAAAAAAAAAAAGAAAAAAAAAAAGGGCAGAAGGAGACAACGCTACTGCCTAGCACTCGCCCAACTATGGCTCAGTCTGTTGCCAGACTACCTCTACCACATTGTCTAATGCACGGAGCCAAGCCTACAGAAAGAAATTTTGTCTCTTCCTCTAGGATGATCCCCATTTCAACAAATGGGGCTGCACAAAGATAAATGAGATTATTTTTCTGCATTTAAATTATGAATGAACTAGAGATAGCTCAAAATTAGCTTCAGCACTCTCTCATTAGTTTCCTACCTGTGAGCATGCATAGACCAGATAAATTAAACTCAGATTTCAGCTGTAGAACCTTGGATCCTCCAAATCCAAACCCATCTGGAGGCTGGGAACAAACTCGTTTCCTGGCTGAGTTTTGTGCCAGGGCAGCATATTGGTTTGCTTTCTTTTTTCCCATAGAATAGTGATGCCTTCAAAAATGCCACTGAAAAGTCAAATTTCAAATGGTATAGACATAAATTGGCCCTTATTAGATTAGTATTTCAAATAATTGCATTGAACTATAGCTGTTGCTGTCAATTAGTATGAATTCATTCACTTGTTGACTCATTCACTTTAGCACATGAAGGTAAATCAGAAAATAATATGACTACCTAGGCTGCAATTAGAGATTTGAAGAACATAAACCAAACACAATTAAATGCTGTAGTTTTCAAACTGAATCACTGGTACCTCTAGATGATTGTTTCAGTCTTCTGGAGATAAAACTGTCTGCTGGAATATGTCACAAGGAGGTATGACCTGGCTGACAGATATTTCATGTGTCTGCAGTTTATGTAATTCTCAGTGCCAGCCTCCCAGATTTTCACTTCTGCACAGGCTGTTTATTCACAGAAACTTTGGCACAAACATACCTGTAAGTACTCAAGAGGAATGGATGTTGCTATTCACGCTGCTAGCACTAGCAATGATGATACAAATGAGCTGCAGAATGTACTCCTCCAGCAAACCAGGAACTGAAAGATCATGTACTTTATTTTATCAGCTTACTGAAATAGTTGGAATGCTACTCGTAATGTTAGTCTTTCTTAGAAAAATATTTTAATTATGTTTTTTTGACTATGTCTTTGTCAACACATTTGCATGTTTGTGGTCTCCTAAACGCTTGTAAAAAGCCAAACACACATACCAGACTATTGACTTACTCAGGTTCCTGTATTGACCCTCCAACACAATGGAATCTCTCAGGAACAGTCTTCCAGTCTTTTGCCATCTTAACCATTGCTCCTGCATCTAGGACCCCGTAGCCAAACAAATGGTTGAATTCCAGCCCAACACCATTTCTGCGCCATTGATGAACCTCATCGTGAAGCTGGTTCCTCTTGGAGGTGAGCACTGTCAGATGCTGCATGTCTCTCCAGGTCAGATCCAAGCTGTGGAAGAGCAACATGAAAAACAAACAGTACAGTATTTCCAAGCAGATATTAATGAAAGACAGCGTGTTTGAGTAAACCTTTTAGTAAAATTTGCTTTTATTAATCACACAGAAATTCTGCCTATACACATATCAACAACAAACCTTCTGCTGATTTCAGTAAAAAGGAGGAAAGGTTTTAATTGTTTAGTACTTTCCCAAAATATATTCCCCAAAATCGCAAAATAATTTCTGATTGTTTCCCTGTTACTGAAAACAACTGCTTTTAACTACACATTATAGATCTAGCATGCAATTTTCAAACTAGTAAAATGGGTAGGATATTACACCAGATCCTGAAAGAAACGCAAAAACAAAAGGATGATGACAGAATTTCATCTAGCCTTCCTGTGAAATCTTGTCCTCTTTTCCTTGCCTGCTCCTCCTGCTTTTCCCATGGACCTTCCAAGATTCACCTAGAGAAGCTCCAGCCTGATGAAGCTGATGAGCTGCAACAATCAAGGTGTTAAAGTAATTTCAGTATTCTGTGAATATGGGTATGTGGGCTGTGGATGGCTGTAGGTTTGCATTATAAGGTATGGTAGAGGTTTGTCACTAGCATGGATGGATGCAGTCAAGTAACATTTGTCCAGATTCAATGATCATTTTACATCATCAGCTCTTGTTTCTAGATTTGCAGTGATTATGATAACAGGAAGGGCACTTAGAAGTTATTATTCTGGAAGCTTTAGAACTGGAACTGACATTCTAATTGTACATAACTAAAGCTATTCCAGTTGTTTTATGATGAACTCTTTCAACATTACAATATGTCTGATTCAAGCCATCAGCCTAAAAGGATCCACTTTTCAGCTTTCTGTGCCCCAAGTACTAAGCATGTGTGCATGCTGAATGTACTCCAGAATAGCCACTTACTGTAATTTTTCCAAGGTGACACAAGATAGCTGAAAACCAGATATCACTTGCATCATTCTTACTGAAACCTTTTAAGAGCTGCACATATCTTAAAACCATTCAATTTCACACATTGGTCTGTTTTTAGAGACATGTCAGACATTTATGGTATATGAGCTGAGAGACATCTGGCAGGCAGCAGTCGGCAGCATGGGAAATTGTTAGCCATTCCGGTAAAGGCCAGTGTCACTCATCCAGGGTTGTTCTGCACACTGAAATGGAGGTTTAATAGAGCCAGCCTGGAAGGAGATAGGAGACACAGTTCCTTCTATCTCACTCCGCACTCCTCACTGCCCACCCCCAACTTCTCAGCAAAGGCTAGAAACCCAATTGCAAACCAGGGGTATTAGTCTAATTTCTACTACAGATAGTTTGGCAAGAGTAATTCCAGTCTTCATGGATAGCCCAAATGAAGAGGAATGGTGATTAGTAACCTGACATACTAAGGTTGTAGTCCCGGTTAAACATGCAGTGGTCACAAAATTGATTAAACCTTTACATTTTTATAGCCATAATTAATTATTACATTGTGGCTGTCCCACTGAATTAATTTGATAGTAGAAGGATTGATCCTCCAAAGTTAAACATTTGGCATGTGTGTTTTACGTGTATAAAACCTCAAAAACGAGACTCAGCCCAAGTCATGCTCTGAGCACAACAATCATTGCTCTGCTAATGACAGAAACTTTGTCTCCTCTGCCAAATCTTCATTATTCTGCATACTGTTGAAGAAAACTATCTACATAGTGCTCGCTTCATGCTGTGGTTACAGCAACTGATGCTGTATACCTGAGCAAATGTCTCACTTCATAAAAAAATTTAACACAAAGTAAAAAGATGATATAGGTTACTGTAAGGAAAACTCTTCCTAATCATTAGAGAAGATAATGAAGCAAGATATACAAGAGGTCTCCAATGTCATGAATAGCATGGAGATGGTAAATAGACAATGAATACTTATTCCTTCACATAACAGCAATTATGTAGCACAGAGGCAGATTACCAGCAATGGGTTAAGAAAATAAAAGGGAACATTCCTCGCCACCACTGCCAAAAACTATTATTACTGTGGAACTGATTTGCCACTGGATGATAGAGATGCCAAATACAGGCAAGTTGAGAAAGAGTTAGACAAATTCAAGGAAGATAAATTTGCCTGTGGCTATTAAACAGGACTGGCTGACTGCTGTGTCTCTAAACCACTGACTGCCAAAGCTGTTGTTAAAAGATTGCTCTGAATCACCATTTACTGTACTCTCCCCTAAGCATCTGCCATTGCAGACAGTATGTGGCACAAGACGAACTCCTGTCTGATACTATAGGTTTGTTCTTATGTTTTTATAGACTGGGCATTCCCCACTGGATTGTGGAGAAATGAAATAATCTCTCCCTCCAAACAGTGCTGGAGAAGACAAACCCCCAAAAGCAGTGGATGGAGAGGACACAGAGAATGAGTCAGCCAAAATGTTATCTGCTATATGGCTTTGGCAGGACTGTCGCTCCATCTGCAAGCCACCAGACACGTCACTAGTGTAGCAGGCAGCCTGTTAGCTGCTCGTTCCAGCCCCTTGACAGAGACAGCCAACTCGTATGATGAACAACATTAAACAAGCCACAGGCCCTCTCCTCCCTAGAGCTCACAAGGAATTTCTCAACAGCATACTTAGCCTCCAGGGCCAAGGCAAACACTCCGGCTGCTTCAGGGGCAGCTGCAGACGTTCCTGAGTGACGCAGGGTGCAGTTGCCATATAAATCCGTTGTAGCCTGCAATGATATTAGACGTAATTAATGAAACCAGCTAGTCCATTTTCCTCGCAGCTACAGACTCAGAAAAATACAGAAAGTAGAGTTTGTGCCATTGCTCTTTCGTGTACTTGCATGTTTATTCCTAGGATCTTGTCTTCTTTGGAATAGTGTATCAATTTAAAAACACAGTGATACATAGTTACAGAAGGTGTGAATGCAAGAATAAATTATGATGTAAGAAAACAATGTTCGTTACCACTTAGAAGTCATAAACTCATATGGATGTAATTTATTTCCTACAAACACAGTCTAAACAAAGGCCTTAAATTCTCTTGCGATTATCAGAAGGATTTGAAACTAGAATTGTTAGTGGTATTGAGCTTTCTAACATTTGTGTAACTCCAGAACCAACAGCAGTACTAGGCTGCAATCTTCTATGCAGACTAGTCACTAGAAGAGATTAGAAGGAAACCTGAGAAGTACATTTTATGGTGATAATTACAAAGGTGCCACAGATCATCATGGCTGGTACCAGCACAGAGCTGATATCAAGACAGAAACCAGTATTTTTCCATCCACTACTGCACAGGGGCATTTAGGATGCTACAATGCATCTTTGGGTTTGAAACAGAGCCAAGGAAAATGTATAGGGGCTTTTGGCAAAAACTGACATTGAGTTATTACACCTGAACTTTCCACTCTGTGAACTAGACTATATCCTGGCTAGTCTGAAGGTGCTGAAGAGCAGCAATCAGTACATGGGAAGAGAATCCCAGTTACACTTGAACAGAAACTCCGTATTTTCCAGTTGTAGGTACAGTCCTGTGGGAGACTTGAGTATGATGCTCCACGCTGCTCAGTATGAGACCGACAGTGATCTGAACCCCCACATGTCCCCTGGAGGTGCCTGAATGCCCTTCTGTTCTGTGCAGCTTCTAGTACAGCAGAAGTCTGGCTCATGACTGCTCTGCCAGTACAAGTAAGTATGAGCTCAGATGTTGACATTTTTCATTTAGATTTTTACAGAGACCTTTTATAACACTGTCCTCTGGAAAGAGTGCAATTTAACTTCTAAATCTGGTTTCTGATAAAAGCAAGCACCAACCATGAAATTCTAAGAGGTAGAAGATCATTGCCGTTCTCAATATTAATCCCACATCTCCTCAGCTGACAGTTTTGGCACGATCACATACTGCAGATGAGAAAATATCCATCTCAACAAAGGACCATCTGCTGCTCCAAAGCAGAGTTCTAACAGGTCGTGGGAGTGTACAAAGCAGCAACAGGACAATAATATCTGGACTCACCACACCAGCCTCTGGATTTCTCTTTCTCCCATTACTAAAAGTAGAGGCTAAGGTTGAAGAACAGCTTTCATCATATAGAGCGGTCCGTCCATCATTTATAGCTGAATTAATGGAGATTGTCCACATGCTTGATGCATAACCGTCACAGTTACAGTCATCATAGCTGCCCCCATCTCCAGAGGCCCAGACGTAGATACTTCCTTTGCCGCCTCGGCCCTGGGAAAGGAAGAAATTGACCCTCTTGGTTTAAACTGCAAACAGGAGATAGCAGCTACTTTAAACTGCACATCTTAATTTTAAAGCTAGGCATCTACAAAGGAGAAAACTGGTCCAAACAAAATACACATCAAACTTAAGCTGAAATAACACGGACTTCTGCAGGTTATTAAATCTGATTAACTGAAAGCCACAGCCAGTTCTGCAACCTTATGTGCACAGAACACTTTCATTTATCTCCTGTTTTGCTTGAAGCCCTGAAGGCTCCTGTGCCAGATGCTAAGACATTTCATGGATTCATTAGTGTTTATGTCAAGGTCTGAGTACTACGAGGAAAGCATTATTTTAAAAGGGATATATAGGTCATCTCACACACTGGGTTTCTAAGATCCAATTAGGTTCATGCAATGGCTAAAAAACTCTGTAAAACTGGCACCTTTTTCTCTCAATAGATTTTTCTCCAAAGGTATCACTGACTATTAGCTGTTTTTCTGACAAACCAGCTTCTACTACTAAGCAGAAAATAAAGTTATGGGACCATATGAATCCTCTACAGAAAGATGGCCTACCAATTACACTGAGAAGCGGAGACGTGAATGGGAGAGACTGAAGGGCAGCTACAAGGCTTCCCATTAGTTAAAGGAAAGAAATGCGTATCCTCTCATATCCTCTCCCCAACTCCCAGATAGGCAAGGAGTGGGAAGGGATCAACTCAACTCCTTCTCCTCATCCCATACTAAGAGGGAGGGAGGTAGGGGCTGCCTTGAAGAGGGTTAAACCTGAGAACCCTGACACTCAGGGAAAGATCAATGCTACTGAACCCAAAGCTCAGATCTCCCACCGATTCCAGCACAGCCACCATTTCTCTCTGTGGTTAGTCTAATGCAATCCAAGGTTTACTTCCACCAGCACCAGAAGGGTGCAAGGCCTCAATTTAACATACTGTTTATGTGCATTGGGCAGAAGGGAAGAAAAAAAAATATCTTCTGGCCTCTTCATTGTCCAGCATGAAATGGAAGTTAAAGAATATACAAACATAGCAACCTGCAATGGTATTTTAATAGGGAACCTTTTCTGACAGGGATTTAAATAAAATCTGAGCTCTCAGCAGTAGCTTCTATTTTTCATCATACCCCACTGAACAGAGCAACCTCATTATTTCAAGCATGTTAGTGAGTTGCATTATAATCCACTGAATTGCACAGCAGGTTTGCTGCCACTGGGGTACATAACATCTCAGGACACAGATTTTCGCAATAAAGATGATCACTATGAAAAAGCTTATTGAAATCAGTCTAAGAACTCCCACAAAGATCTGAGATCAGTCATGTGAGTTTTAAGGGAGATTACTATTGCAAAAATACATACTCTAAGAACAAAATGATTCCAAGAAATTATTTTTTAAAAATTAAAAAGATCAGCATAACAAGGAGAGTCATGCCTTTTTTCCCTTTCACCTTTTCAAAATCCCACCTTGTGTTCTGACTACCTTTAGCCTGTAGGGCCAAATCCTGGGCTTTGGACTCACTTCAGAGGCTACACCCCAAGCTTGTCACTGCGCCCACATACACCACCACATCACCTTGCCACCATCTGTCTCCTTTGGACAGCCTCTGTGGCCGCTCCAGCGCATCTTTGTCTGTCCCAAAAAGGCAGGCTGCTGCCCAATGCAGACAGCTGTTGGCTGCTGGTGCCAGAAATAGGACATTTGGCATGTATGGATCCATTCTAAACACCCCTTTCCTTCCAGCCACTTCAAAAGGGAGACAAAACACTATTTTCATATGATAAATTCACAGAAGTAACTTGGTAGCTGGAAGTTAGCCTCTGCAGCGTTCAGCACTGGGAAGCAGACTTAGCCCTGCTCAGCAACTTCCAGTCTGCCAAAACCAGCTATTGCTGTGAAGCATTTCACCCCATGGGCAGGATTTGTGGCAGAACAGCAGAAAACAGGTGTTAACAGATTGCTGGTGGGAAGCCAGGGGAACCCACGGAAGAACCGAAATCTGGGCTTGAGTTCGTGGGTGGAGTTAGCCTGCTGAGTGCTGCTGGGGACAGGTTTTCTGCATGTAATTACTGTAACATGAGAGTGGCCTCAGGATATCACTTCTATGAGAGTCACATACACAAGCATGGCTTAGCATTAAAAACCATAATTCACCTCTTTAAACTCTAATTTCAATGGTATTTCCCTTTTAGGCAGGACTGGAAAGAGGAGAAAACATGACTGGAATAAACTGAGAGCAGTCCAAGTGCATTATTTGCAATGATGCTTAGGACTTGCCGCCTACATTTCCCACAGTCAGACCTACAGTAGTTGAATAGTCTGCACAGGCAAAATGTTTGGTGGCTGTCCTCAGGGTGTCCTTTGGTGGCCTGACCCCTCACCCCCCTCATTTACTTCAGGGGAAGTGAATTTTCAATTCCCTGAATGGTAGTTGTCTAAACCAGAAAAATCCCAGTTGGGTCAACCAAGTGTTGTATTTAAAGTGGACTGAAAGCTCCTATTTGCATTTCAACCTTATATGAACCTAAAAAAATTCAGTGGTGTCACTGAACTTAGGCTGCTATAAATTTAGGCCAAAAACAGGACTGGAGAAGGTGTCAGCAATACACGCTACAAACACCAGAGGGAGCGTGAAGGAACAGTCAGGAAGAAGAGAGAAGACTACAAGAACAGTAGATACATTTTAAAGAGTGTCTCTCCTCCAGAATCCTGTTGAAACCTGCTCGTTTCCTGCAAAAGTGATGCACGGCGTGGCAGCCACACTTCTGAGCCATCTGAAGCTGTATCTCACTCATAGCTGAAAAAGGATCTTGGTGCATTTAGTACTAGCCCAAAAGAGGCCCACCTCTCAATTTAAGCTAAACCAGAATTAAATCTTGGGCAAGCCTGTATGCTTAAAAAGGCACAGACAGTTACTGAGAAGCTCTCTCAGCAGAAACAGCAGGTTTTCTATTTCCAGGGTCCTTCGTGGGATGTTGTGCTACCGGCAAAAAATATCCCTGAGAAATTTTATTATCTCTTTTGTTATCTTCCAAGGAGCATAATCCCAGAAAAACTTCTTTACTGAAGAACCTTGTAAAAGTGTGTTGGCAGTGGACTGCAGCCTAATTCACTTCATGTAACTTCAGGCACATTTTGAACTTTTTTCTTCTTGTTACTGTGTTCTCAAAGTTTTGATTGCTGGACCGCATTATCCTGATAAAAATGAGTGGTATTTGACAAATACATCTCATCCAGCTTCCCTGACCTCTCCCATTAAGGCTGGCAAGTGCTCATGTGAGGAACAGCTGGGCCTCCAACACAGCACAGCCTCTGCCTTACCTTCTCGAGTTCACCCACTCCCACCTGGTCACTGGGGTTGCTAAAGATCAATGGAAGGAAAGTAACAGTCTCTACAACACATTTCTGATTCCCTTCAGCTTTGGCCTAATCCTTCAGTCACAGATCAGCACCAGCAGTTTCCAAACAGAACAAACTGAAAACAAACAACAGACTCCTGTCCTGAAAAGCCAAGTCCCAGGGAACGACAGCATCTGGATACCAGCAGGCAGATGGGCTCAGGATAAGAAAAAAAAGCAGCACCTGACTGTGAGAAGGTGGGGTTTTTTTAGGTGTAGTGAAAAGGTACTTCAGGATAAGGACAGCCAAACGGTCTGCTGATGTTTACAGACTATCCCATGTCTAAGGAAGAAAATGCAGATGTAGCACATTTGAAAAAAGATACGAAAAACTACAGAACTGGAAAATGCTTTCTGTAACAAATTCAAAGCACCTATTATATTATAAGCATTCTTCTTTTTGTGTGATATATGATAGCTATTTAGTAATTCTTCCCCTTAAGAAAACAGAAGTGTTTCCAGCACCTTCTATATAATTTAATAGCAATTTGTGTGCCTGCTATGGTAAGAGATATTCTGGTTTTCCAGGAAAAGCAATAAATTCTATAACTTTTTCAAGTCTTTACCATGGGTTTTACTGACTTATGAACAGGACTCAGTTTCCATCCCCTATTAATTTCAACTATATTTTCCTCTGAAAAGAGCATTTCTTTCTCTTCAGGACTGAAATACTTGAAAATCCTTATATGCATTGTAATTAAAAACTGCATTCTTCAGTAATGATTGCTAATTATCTCAGAAAGTGCAGTTTGCAGCCCAGGATCTGGTGTGCCCAGAATACACTGCTCATTCCAGAGGCAACACGAAATTGCCATCGTGCCCCCAGGCTAGGGCACGCTAAGGCAAGGATGGACTGCGAAAAAGCCGTGGGACCACTTGCCGGCTGTCAGAACTTGGCAGGGAGCATTAGGCTGTGCTCTCCAGACATCCAGGAGCTTATGCAGAGACCTTTGCTCTGCCTTGGTCTCCCCACCACTCCTGAGTATGAGCAGTTTGGCTCTGCGGCATAAGCCAGCTGGAGACAGCGAGCCCTTGGCATTGCTGAACTGCTTCTCATCTTTTGCGCTGCCAGTGTTCTCTGGAGGCTGCCTGTGTGTCCCTGCATCCCTGTTGTGGTGCCAGCTGGACAGCCCATTGAGCCCTCACTCTCCTGGCTCCTCCAGCTACCTCTGCATCTGCCAGGCTGATCTGCCCAGAGCAATCTGGTAGCCTGTGAGGTCCTGGATCCCTTTGCTCCTTTCCTGTACTGATTTCTTGGGGGCTGCTAAAACCTAAAGCAAAGTCTAGGCAGAAACACATCTGCCAGCCATCCATGTAAGCTCAATTCAACCACACAGACACCAAAGTTTTAAGTAGGAAACACAGCTGAATTTCCAAAGTTTGCCACTATACATGTTCAGGGGGAGAGCTGTCTTGTTTGAGCTGAATGCCTTAGCACTTCTCCCGCATCCAGCCCCTTCAGAAAGCCTGGAGCTGCTGTACTGTGCCCCTGGAAAAGACAGGATATCTGGCCTGCCCAGCACACCCAAAAGTCGTGGAGTTCTGCACAGAAGAAACAGCAGCTGGGTTATCCTACTCGAATTCACCACTGCTGAAGGTGGTGTCCCTTCACTGTTGGC